TAATCCCATCATGGGGTACCATCTCATTATCTAATTTTAATTACTTCTCTACCTCCTAATACATACCATCTTAATAGGGATTAAGGGTTCAAAATATCAGTTTTGGAGAGACACAGACATGAGTCAGATATGAGTTGGCTGAAACGACCATAATGCTGATAAGAATGTGGAGTGTGCTCATGAGATTTTAGAGGAAATTAAGGACTCTATTGAGTATTCACATAGAGGCCATCAGCATTATATTTTGGCAAAGAAAGTGGCTACATTTTGCCCATGTCTGAAATTATGTGTGATTCTGAATTTAAAGGTGATAGACTGATTAATCTGTTCAAGAAAATTTTAAGGTAACATAGCATTCATTCAGTGGCATGCATATTGCTGGCAGTTTTTAGCCAGCTTTACTGTAAAATTAGGAGCATAAAGCAGAGGTAAAGGATTTTAAAAATTTGTAGATTGGCCAGAAGAATGCATGTAAAGCTGGAGCCAAGGAAAATGTGGTTGTTGAAGAAATTGGATTCCCTAGGGAAATGTTAAGTACTTCTGAAGGAGATAATTGTAAAGATGACTGGAAGACATTTCAGGAATTTGCAAGACCACAACCACTACAGTTTCTTGAGTATAGAAGAGAAAATCATTTCAGAAGAGAATATGGGGGTGCCCTGCTTGCACAGAAAGACATAGGAAATTGTTTCACTATATTGAGCTATTCTCGTTCAGAGGACACTGCACTCACGATTCAAGGGAGTCCAGATAAGGAGCAAGCTGGCAGCAGATCTTGGTATCATCCATATTGTTATGGTTCTGCAGGAATATAAGATGTTGGGGTTATGAGGTCATGAAAGATTCCACCAAGGAAGACCTGAGAAGCCAGGCAAAATGTAGTTTCATTGGAGTACCTTGAGAGGGTGATACACGAAACTGTGAAGGTGAAGCCCAAACTGAAATGGACACCCAAGAAAAAAGAGATTCCAGTCATGTGGACTGTCTGCCAAGAGACCTGCTGGCTGTAGAGATCCAGGCTAAAAAGGAGTCCTTGTGAATGACAATGACAAGGCCACAGAGACAGGGCAGCACAAACCCTCTGTAAACCACATCTCTCTGTCATGTCTTCTAGATGTTATATGCAAAGTTCCAGGACCTGTTTGCCTGGCTGGGTTTTGGTCTTGTTTTGACCCCATTTTTTTTTCCTATGTTCCTACCTCTCCTTTTTGAAATGGGAATGTTTACTCTGTGGAATTGAATATCGTATACAACTTGCTTTTGACTTTTACAGGGCTCACAGCTGTGAGTTTGCCTTGAATCTCAGAGGAAGCTTTGAATTTGAATGTTTTGGCAATGCTGAAACTGTTAAGACTGTGCGACTCTTGAAGATGGACTAAATGCATTTTGCATTGTGAGATGGGCATGAGCTTTTGGGGGTCAGGGGTGGAATGTTATTTTCTGGATATGAATTGTCCCTCAAATGCTCCAAATGCAGGAATACTCAGAGGTGTAATTACTGGAATATGAAAATTGTAACATAACTCTAGTACATCTTAGTTTGAAAGGACTGCTTGATTGGTAATTGTAGGCAAGTAGGGCATGGATGGAGAAGGTGCATCACTGGAACCCTGCCCTGAATGGTTGCATCTTCTGTGCAGCCCTTTCCCACTACACCCTTCCCACCCCTTGCTGCCATTTGGGCAGCAGATTATCGCTACTGCACATATCCCATGATGTGCTGCCTCACCTTAGGCATAGAGCAATGGAGTTAGTCATCTGTGAACTGAGACTTATGAAACCGTGAGCCCCCAATTAATGTTTCCTCCTCTAAGGTGTTTTTGTTAGATATTTTGTTCACAACATTTTCAAAAGCTAAATAAAACACAGACATTTATTCATAATTCTTGTCTATCTAAATGCTGACATAACATAAATTCTTGTGAACCAAAATAATATATACCAAAAGGAATAACTGAATCTTTTTTTCAGATAATTAGAAAAATATGTCTTAGCTATAGTTTATTTCTGTCATGCCTTTCCATGGGACTCTGAATCTTGAAATTGATCTTTAAACCCTGCATCATATCAAGGGCATTTAAAAGCATCTCATTTCCATGAGCATCTGATGCTGCGTTCTCTACACAGGTTTCCCATAACCAAACTATTGGCACAAACAGCAAGAAGGATTGAAGATTTATTTCAAAATGAAAACATATTTTTTATATTATAATTGTATACTATATTTGATAGAGCAGAATCAGGATATTTCTCTGGATTTTAAAAATACTCAAATTTGGGACTCGTAATTTTCTAATATTTCCATGTACATTATGATCACTTCTATCTTTTAAAAAAAGGCACATGTCCTGGATAATTACCTCTGGTTTTGCAAAAGGTTTAGCCAGAAAATTTAGGCCTTTAATTAATCTCTGAAAACTGTGTCAATACAATGTTGCTTTTTTTGCTAGTCACTAAGGAAGTCAAATATATTCCATTTAATTATAGAAATCTTTAGCTTTAGTTTTAAGTGCAAATATCCCTTGAGTTCCCCTTTACTACTTGACTCTTTCCATTTTATTCTTAGTTTTATTATTTTGAGTTAAATTAAATATTTACTGTCTCTTTTTTTTTAAAAAAGAGAGAGAGTGAGAGAGAGAGAGAGAGAGAGAGAGAGAGAGAGAGAGAGAGAGAGAATTTTTTTTAATATTTATTTTTTAGTTCTCGGCGGACACAACATCTTTGTTGGTATGCGGTGCTGAGGATCGAACCCGGGCCACACGCATGCCAGGCGAGCGCGCTACCACTTGAGCCACATCCCCAGCCCCTTTACTGTCTCTAAAATTACCTTGGTTCATTTGAAATGTCTGTGCAATATATTTTGAAATTTAATTTTCTGAGCATTACTAACATAGCACAGTAACTTATACATACATCCTATGCATAGAAAAGTATCTTAGTTCATTATAATGGAATACAGAAAATGTCCTACTTCTAAATATCACTTTAAATATTATACACATTGCAAACAAAATATAAGTACCAAGACTTTAACAGTTGAAAAAAAAACAAAAGAAAACAAAACACTGCAGTACTGGATGTTAGTTACTAGAATTTGAATGGAAAGCTAAACTTTTTAAAAATAATTTAAGTGAATACAGACTTTTATTTCCCCTAATGTCTGCATTGATTTATTTCTGCTTGGCATGAAAGCATGTTCACATGTCACCCCTGCACACATTCATGAACTGCCTTGTTTACAAGTATTAGGTAATATGTTTCACTTATTCAAATTTTGCAACCTGAATATAATAAAGAATAAGCACATTTCCTTGTGAATACCATACTCCATGGTACATTCATAAGGTTCAGTTCCCTGAAGCAGAAGGGTCTCTAAGAGGCTGACCTACTCACAGTACATTATAGATTGTACAATTAAGTATAGTGTCTACAAAGCTCAACCCTGCTACTCACATAAGATAACTTCAAAACATCCAAACTTTCTCATTTGAAAAACAGAAGGATAATTTTGCAACATAGGAATTTTATGTAGAATTAAATTTGTGGGATACATAGTAATGTAGAATGTGTATGTGTGTAAGCGTGCATGCCCTTAGTTTTGTATTTGTATATATTATAACTGAGACTTTTTCCCCATGAAAATGAAATATTCCCTATGATTTAATAATGGAAAGAGAAGCTATATGTAACTGATTAGTTGAGTTTCTATCCAAAGAAAGGGAGAATCTTTAAACCCTTGTGGTAGGAAATGATCATGTATATATATTCTGGCTGTAGAAGGTAGGGATTAGGAGTTGGTGACTGGATTCATCTTGGACTTCTCCTGAGACAGATGCTGCCATAGAAGAAGTGCAAGTGGGTAGATCTACCTAAAGCAACCTGGCAAAGATACCATAGGAATACCTGGGAGCTTCATGGGAGCAACATGTCTGCCAGGTAAGCAATGATGACATGGCTCTGAACCTCGTAACATCTGCAAAGGGAAAATTTACTAACTACATGGCAATTACTTGTAAGGGAGAAATGTCCTGTGAATGAACCCTTTACTTGCAGTCTGATGATCATCCTCCGAAATCAGGACACTAAGCCAAATGAGCCCCATGTCCAAGGGGTCATAAAGAGAGTACAATTCATGAGGCAGAATAAAACTCGGAAATAAATTTCTAAACAGGAATAAAGAGTGACAAGAATTAAACTAACCCATCAAATAGAAGTCAATTTCAAGTAAGAATAATATTAACAACCATGTTGTAGGTACTCATGTATTGAAAGAAGTGACTGTAATTACATTTATTTATTTCAAAAATATACATACAGATTTGACATTAAACTTCTAAAATACTCTTCAGTAAAATCATTGTTTCACTTAGGTCAAATGAATAGTATGTCAAGTTGTATTTCACTATGAACATTGTAAAAATGTTAGTAATCAATAATAACACAACATGTATGAGACAAATGTTTTCTATTTCTTTTTTGTTCCTGTAGATATCTCATGGAGTCCTTTAGTTGTCTCAGCCAAATAGGAAGGCATTCTCTCTCTCTCTCTCTCTCTCTCTCTCACACACACACACACACACACACACACACACACACACACATACACATACACAGAGACACATGCACACACTGGCATATCCTTTGTTGCTCAAGCTTTGCTTCTCTGCCTACATGATAATTTACAATAAAGTTCTGCTATCTCAGCAGGAATATTTTACTTGAATGGCTCTTGGGGGTTTCTCAGAGTTGAAATTATCCTATAACTTCTTCAAGACATTATTTTCTTTAATTTTGTTTAAAATCTCATATGTACCTATATCAGTTTTAAGACACATCAATCACTGAAAAGTTTGAAAATATGATTCAATTTAAATAGGTATTTCTGTAATTTTAAACTTGTCTAAAACTCATATTGTAGAACAGTTTTATAACTGTCCACTGCTTGTAACCTAATACAGATATTTCCAGGGGAGAGTAAACAACCATTACCTTCTCATCTGTTTCAATTTTCTATTCGTGTCAGTTACCTTTTCTTGGCTAGCCATGGAAATTCATAAACATCAATGTTGGTTCATTTGTATTCCTGTTTCCAAACATCAAATAAAGTCATCCATAAATTAATTTTATGAGCAATTAAGTTCTTCCAAGTCAATACTTTCTAAATTGATTTCTCTTTTACAATCAAGACACAGTTTAGCTTCATTTTATAACATTAGGCACAGCTCTTAGATAGTTTGCTATTTTTTTTTTTTGGCTTCTACTTTCTTTTTAATTTTCACTCTAGCTGTTGGAATTCTTTCTGTGCCACAACATAGAGGCCCCCTTCATTGCCAAGTAAAATCAGGCAACTATGTATGAACGGGACCAATGTGCATAGAGATCTTGTAATCAATTTGTGAGAGAAGGTATAATCCCTTGTTAAATCAGAGTCTTAGGAATTAGTAATGCCAGTGATAAAGGAACAAATCAGATACATAGAATAAGAACCTGTAGAGACAGGTCAGCTAATGTCACTGAAGACATCATCAATGTTGTGAGAAAGGGCTTTTATCATTAATGCTTGCACTTATCTTTATTTTTATAGAGGATTTGATTTAAGTAAAAAAAAAATATTTTTGATACTGGGGATTGAATTCAGGGGCCCTTAACTGCTAGGACCCATCTCCAGCCCTTCTTTGTATTTTATTTAGAGACATGGTATCACTGAGTTTTTTAGGACCTTACTAATTTGCTGAGGCTGGCTTTGAACTAGCAATCCTCCTACCTTAGCCTCCTGAGCTGCTGTGATTAAAGGTGTGTGCCACCATGCCCAGCTTAAGTCAAATTCTTAAATTTAATTCTCAAAACACTGTTATACACTTGATACTATTAGCTTCATTTTACATCTGACAAAGCATATGCTTCCCAAAGTTCAGTAACTTGGCTAAAGTTCCAATTTAGGCAGTGGACCTTGGATTTGAATGGACTTCTATTCTGGTTGGTTTCAAAGGTCTCTATAGGAATTTACCTCGCCTGTCTCAAGGACAATACTCAGAAAATAAAAGTACAATACTCAGAAAATAAATACATTGGTAATTTCTTCCCAAAAGGATTTTGAAAGGACTCTATGGCTCTTCTAAACCATCTGAACATTATTTGGATTTTAGATTACCACCTGATTCTATATTTGTTCAGGATGTCGCATTAAATGAGAGAATCAAGAATCTCTTTTCTTTGTAAATTAAAAAAAAAAATACATGTTCCAACAATTTGAATGTGTATTCAGCTGGAATCAATCCAAGTAAAACTCAATATCTCATCTCATTTTGAATGCTTTAATGTGAATATTTATAAACAAATTATAATTGTTATACTTCAGCAAATATTAAGTGATCTTTGTTTAAGTACTAAGAAAACAACAAGAACTAAGCAATGGTTTTTATTTTCCTGGAATGAACACATTATCAAAGAGGAATGAATGCAAGATATGATTGTCATAATATTTGATATATGTTATGTGATATGTACAAGACAGAAAAGTGAAAACATTTAAAATATTAACATCTTTTTGAGGAGATGTAACATTAAATAATTATCTATGTGTGCAGCTGCTAATTAGGTAGGTCAGATGTGATAGACATTAAAGACACTCCCTTTATACAAGGTAGAATTAATTTTAGTAATAATACACAAGCAAGAGCAAAAGCAAAAGCAAAAGTGATAGGTGGAAAGAGAGAGAGAGAGAGAGAGAGAGAGAGAGAGAGAGAGAGAGAGAGAGAGAGAGAAGAAAATAATCACCTGATTGGGGAAACACCAACACCTGCAGTCATATAGCTAGGGAGTCCCAGGACAGCTTTTTAGGGTCTTGACTGGGAATTCTCTAGCAGAGCGTCCACTCCATAGGTGAGATTGCGAAGTTTATTCCCAGTGGGGCTCCTTAAATACAAGTTAGAACAAAGAAAGATTCATTTTAATAACCTGTGTGAACTAGTAATTCCCTCAAGGACACTTTCTTCCCCCAAGGATTGGCCAGGTCCCTGAAGGAACGGAGTAATATCCTTGAGATAAGTAAATGACTCTGAGTTTTCTTGAGTAAGCCAAACCCACTGAGAAGTCAGCCTTCTTTAGTTGTTCCATCAAGGGTATGTGAAAGTCACAGCAAGCAAGTGGACAGAGAAAATCTTTCACATTTTCCTTTGTCCTTTAGGAGGACAGAAAATGTGTCATGAAAAAAATATATTTGTCTTGGGACTTGAACAAAGAAAGTGTATATGAAATAAAACACAGAGATATGGAATGGTAATGTGCAAACTGGAAACCTTAGATCCTTTTACTATCTTCTTTTGCTCTCAGTAACGTCTAGAAGGAAAATATTAGAGTCTTGAGAGAATGTTGACTTTCTCTAATCATAACTGTGAACATGAGACATAATAATAACACTGAGGAGAGACATCCTTGGTCTCTGGTTGTGGGCTTTGCTCACACTAACCTGCTAAATGCAACATCAGGAAAGGCAGATAGCTAGTCAATACTGCAATGACAATTTATACAATATGATAAAGATAAGGAGACCAGGTGTTTCAGAGTTATAGGAAAGAACCTTAAATTGGCATTGCATGCCAGACAATGTGGTGCACAAATGTAACTCCAACTACTTGGGAGGTTGAGGCAGGAGGATCACAAGTCCAAAGACAGTCTTGGCAACTCAGCAAACTTCTGTCTTAAAATAAAATATAAAAAGAAATAGGGTTGTAGTTCAGTGGAAAACTGCCCCTGGGTTCAATCCTTAGTACTTAAGTTGGTATTCAAATAAGTAATAAAGCTAAAATTATTGAAGATAGAGACAATGGTGTGGTTGAGTGTCTGAGAATGTGTATGTCCCAACAATACAAGTAGAGTGTTTCAGTGAGGGACAGAGAGGAACAGTGGGTGGAAGGGTTAAAGAATTACACAGAATGAATACTTATCAGTTTATTGATTTTCAATTTGTACCCCTAAACATACCTAAAATGGCATTGCTCATGTAACATAATATTTCTAATTCAAGAGTTTACACAGATAATGCTTTTTCTGTATCTTCCTCTAGGAAAATAACTTCAAAATGCTACTAATAATTATCTAGTACTGGATTATACCTTTGCAGAGTATAAATTGACAATATACCATGCACTTGACAATAATGAATACCAAAATTCACAATATTCTTAAGGATATCATTCAAAGTGAATATATATCCTAACAAAATATCCTGAAGATTTCAATTCCTTTTGCTTCATTTCTCAAACTGTTCATACATACATAATCTATGTCTTTTCTTAAGAAAACAAACTATTTTCTTTTTTAAGATTAAGATAAAATCAGTGCAAAAGTGTTTGTGCAAATACAAGTGAAATTCACATTGTCAAAGGATATGATAAAAGTGATCCCACTTTTCCACCCCCTGGAAAGAAGAACCTGTCATCTTCCGTGGTGGGTTCCTAAGAAGTTTTTCATGACAGAAGCATTAGTGACACCTAGGACCAAACCTAACCTCAAGAATTGAGTGTCATTAACCCAAGAATTTCAACACTCCCCAAGTTCTGAAAATTTTTCCCTCCCAAACAATAGTATAATTACAGACACCTTCATTAAATAAGTCTAAGACTGTAGCTGCAGCTCGGCCATTTCACCTACCACACAGGCCACAACAACTAGTCCCCTTACTTTTTGCTGGTTCTCCATACTTGGTCATGTTCAGTATCACCTACCACAGAGAGGGATTGAGACTGAAATAGGCATTTTGATTCTCAGGTTTTTCTCATTTGTCTAACATTAAAGATCTGAAAATATAGAAATAATTACATAAATTTTACTTACAGACCATAGAAAAAATGCAACATTTGAAGTTTTTCCGGTGTTGTTTTTCTCACTCAGTGCAAGACTAAGAGCTGAAACACAAACAGTAAGAAATCTTGGAGCCCCTATGAAAGCCAAAAGCAAACTCCCTTAAATTAATTGTTCTCAGATTTAGTTTCATTGAATGACTTTAGCTTCATGAATTCTTTCTGCCCTTCATGTTTTTCAATTTATTTTAGCTATCTATTAATAACAGAAGAAATGGTTTTAGAAAAGATGTCAGACAGAGAAAACCATGAAAAAGAACAGAAGGTCATCCATTCACATGAGAAGCATCAAGGGACATAGTGGAAACCAGGAAAATACTGGTGAGAGGAAAGTTTCTCTATAATGTAGTTACTGGGAAAAAGGTAAACAATGACCAAGGTATTACGGAAATAGATTAAAAAGCCTTTGATTTAACAAGTCTAGTCTATTTTATATTTATTGAACACTCAATTTAGTGGCCTTGCAAAATGCTTTCTTCCAAATTCTCTAATTTATTCTTGTAATTGATAGAAAATATGATCTTGCAAAATCAAAACATGAGTATATCTATCCATTTGTACAAATATGTCTATGAATATAAAGTGAACTATGAGCTTCTGAAATTTATTGGGTAATAAAAATTGAAGAACACTATTAAGTCATGTATTGGCACATTGTTTGTTGACATAGTAATAAAACATGCTTTAAACTGAGAGTTAAAATTGATTTTTGAGATCTATGTTCATGGAGTAGGAAAGAAAATCTTTTCAAAGAGTAAGAAGCCAGTTAAAATTAAATATAATGGGTTTTGCAGAGCAGACCTGTTTTCAAAGGCCAGATTATTATCACTGTCCCTAAAATAAAAGCTTCTCATTTCATCATAGTATTGAATTTTATAGAACAGGATGAAATAAGGGTTGTTACAGTAAGCATTTTGACAAATCAATTGACACTCCAAATAAAGTGAGCTTAAATTTATACAAATAACATTTTGTACAGCATTTACTGCAATGCTGGTGACACTGGTGGATGTTTTTAAGGCATTATATCTTTTATCACAACAATTACATAAAAGAGGTAATAGTAACTCCATCCCAGCGATGAAGAAATCAATCTTGAGATTTAATAAATTAAATAATTTTCCCAATGTTTCTCTTAGGAAAAATATAGATGGAATTCCAGCCAATGTATCTATGTCAAAAGCACTTACTATGAACCTCACAGTAATTGCCCCATTTGTCTTATTAAAGCAAGTGATGGGAACTTTAGAATATATCCCTATGTATCTGAGTAAATACAGTAGTTTGCTTTATCCATGGATGATACATGCCAAGAATGTCAGTGGATATCTAAATCCACAGATTATATATGCTGTTTGTTTCCTATATGCATGTGTTAGTCAGTCTTCCCTGCTCCAACAAAATACTTAAGACAAATGTTAAAAAGGAAAAACTTTTATTTTGACATGTTCAGACCTGTATATCATGGTGGGAGCATGTGGCATAGGAGGCCTGTTTAACTCATGGTAACTGAGAATCAAGGTGGGGAACTGAAAGGGTTCCAATATTCCCTTTGTTATGATTTGGATGTGAGGTATCCATCAAAAGCTTATGTGTGAGACAATGGAAGGTTTAGATGGGAAATGATTAGGTTATGAGAACCTTAGCCAATCAGTGAATTAATCCCTTGATAGGGTATAACTGAGTGGTAACAGAAGGCAGTTTGGGTGTGGCCAGAAAAGATAAGTTATTGGAAGTGTGCCTTTGGGGTATGTATTTTGTCTGGTGAGAGGGGCTCTCTCTCTCTCTCTCTCTCTCTCTCTCTCTCTCTCTCTTCCTCTCTCTCTTCCTCCCTCCCTCTGCTTCCTGGTGTGATGTCTTGAGACACTTCCCTCCACCACACTTTTTCACCATGATATGGAATGGAGTTGGCCATCTGTGGACTGAGACCTCTGAAACTCTGAACACTCAAATAAATTTTTCCTCCTCTTATTATTTTTGTCAGGCCTTTTGGTCAGAACACTGGAAGAGGTATCTAAAACACCCTTCCTGGGCATACCACCAGGAGCTTAATGTTTCCCATAAGGCAACAAGTTTCTGTAATGCTTCTAGGGATTGAGCTCAGGGGCACTCTATCGCTGAGCCACATCTCCAGCTCTATTTTGTATTTTATTTAGAGAGAGGTCTCACTAAATTTGCTTAGCTCATTACTCGATTCCCCTGTCTCAGCCTCCCAAGCTGCTAGGGTCTCTGGTGTGCACCCAGCTTCCTCAATTTTTTTTTTTAACAGCACCCAGGGCTAAGGATCTAACCTTAACTATGTAGGCCATTTGCAGGTACTTCTAAACTATAGCAACATGCTTCCCTATTCAAAGTTTAATTTGTAAATTGAGCAAGATAAGAACTTAGGAATAGCCAAAAAAAAAGAACAATTATAATGATATATTATAATAAAAGTCATATAAATGTGGTCTCTGTCTCTTGAAAGTACAAGACAAACATTAACAATTTCATGTATGATTGGCTGGGGGTAACTGAAAGTGAGGAATGCAGAACTGTTGGAAAAGGGGAAAAAGGGGATCATAATTTTTCAGGTGTGAATATTTTGAATATTTTGTTAATTCAGAATGTTTCTACAGCTGGAATTAAAGTCTAGGCCTTGGAAATAGTATTCTTGTTCCAATCACATTTTACATTTTATGGGAGGTTCATGTATTTACAATTTTCTCTACAGACAATATTTGACATAAAATTATGTTATCTAAGTATAGCTACATGTGATTTTTAAAAATTTATCATTTGCATAGGATGACTTTTTCCAAAACTTCACTTCACTTTTAGCTTGTTTGTCCTTAAATCTAAAGTGAGTTTCTTTTTTTTTAATTTTTTTTTAGTTGTAGTTGGACACAATACCTTTATTTTATTTATTTATTTTTATATGGTGCTAAGGATCGCACCCAGCACCTTGCCCCTGCTAGGGGAGCCCTCTACTGCTGAGCCACAATCCCAGCCCCTAAAGTGAGTTTCTTTTACACATCATATAGTGGGATAATATGTTTTTTATCCATTCAGCCAGCCTATGTCTTTTGCTGAACTACATTTAAAGTAATTATTGACAGGGAAGGATTCACTATATTGCCATTTTATTAACTTTTTACTGTATTTCTATCTGTCTTCTTTTGTGTTTATTCTTTTGCTTTTTTAATGATAGAGTTTGATTTCTCTCTCTCTCTCTCTCTCTCTCTCTCTCTCTCACTCACTCGCTTTCTCTCTGGCATATGGGTACATGTGCATGTGTCTGTGTGCTTGTATGTATGTTTATTGGGACTTATGTAATATATTCTGCAGTTGCAACTATTTACTTTAAGTTGATTTGGTTATGAACACTACATGATTCCCTCTCCCTTCTCACACATTATATGTTATGTCACAATTTGCATCTATTTATATCACATTTCTATTAACAAGATTTTGCTAATAACTATTTTCAATATTTTTGAATTTTAGCTTTTATACTAGAATTAAAATGTTTTATAATTTTTTATGCTACAGTGTTGATGTTTAGCAACTTTTCCTTGAAACCAACTCTCTTAAGCATTCCTTGTAAGGCAATTCTAATGCTGATAAACTTCCTTAACCTTTGCCTGAGAAAAATTTTCATCTTTATTTTTGCAGAACAATTTTGCTTGGTATAGCATTCTTCGTTAGTAGTTGTTTGTTCCTTTAACACTGTAAATATATCATGACAATTTTTTCTTGCCAACAAGGTTTCTGCTGAAAAACCCATTGACAATCTTATGAGGGTATCTTTGTATGGGACAAATTGCTATTTTCTTGCTGCTTTCAAAGTTATTCATCATTTTTCTCTGTTCACTCTCTCTCTCTTCCCCTTGCTCTCTCCTCCTCCCTCCTTTCTTTCTTCTTTTGACAATTTAATATAATGTGTGTTGATGACTTCCCTGTTTGTGCTGTTTCTCCAGTTCATTTCCAGCTCACCTTTTGGTGTTCTTTGGGCTTTTCAGTTCTGGATGTCTATTTATTTTCTAATTGGGAATTGTTCAGCTATTATTTATTGCAAGAATAAGCTCTCTGTTCTTTCATTTCTCTCTTATGTTTCTGAGATTCCTATATGCATATATTGATCCTCTTGATGTTGTCCCAAAACACCCAAAGGCTTTCTTAATCTTTTTAAAACATTTTTGTTTATTTCTTAAAATGGATCACTCCTAATGATCTTTGATTTCATAAATCTTTGTTCTTCTACTTGACTATTCTCAATTGAACTCTCTACTGAATTTTTCAGTTTAGTTATTTTATTTTTAAGCTCTATGTCTTTGTTTATATATAATACATTTACATGTACATGTATATGTTTATATATACATATACATATACATATACAAATATATGAAATATTTAAATACACAGATGCATATACATATAATGTATAATGTATGTACATATATGTTTTATATATATGTAAATATTTTATATATATGTATATATTGTTGTTATGGATTAAATATTAGGTGTCCCTCAAAATTTATGTGAGTCAATGCAATAGGTTTTGAGATGAAATAATCAGTTTATGAGAGTCTTAATCAGTGCATTAATCCCCTGATAGGGATTATCTGAGTGGCAACTATAGGCAGTAGGATGTAGCTGTAGGAGGTGGATTCCTGGGAGATCATGCCTTTAGGGTTTATATTTTGCCCTTATTGACAAACAAGGAGAAAAGCTGAGAGTAGCTGGCTTGGCAGTCACTAACCTCCACCCTCAGTGGAGAACAGGACCAAGGAGAACAAAGAATGGTTAAGAATGGGAAATAGGCCTCAGTGTGTCCACTCTATCATTCTTAACCATTCTTTGTTTTCCATGGTCCTGTTCTCCATGGGGGTGGTTAGTGACTGCCAACACACTACTCTCTCTGCTCTCTGATGGGATGTCCTGAGCCACTTTTCTCCAGCACACACTTCTACCATGATGTTTTGCTTCACCTTGAGGATGGAGCCTGCATATATAGATTAATATCTCTGAAACTGTAGCCACCCAAAAAACTTTTCCTC